TCTGTTGTTGTATGACACTCTGTTGTTGTATGACAGTCTGTTGTTGTATGACAGTCTGTTGTTGTATGACAGTCTGTTGTTGTATGGCAGTCTGATGTTGTATGACAGTCTGTTGTTGTATGACACTCTGTTGTTGTATGACAATCTGTTGTTGTATGACAGTCTGTTGTTGTATGACAGTCTGATGAAGAGGATGCTGAGGGTTGTCTATAATGTTCTTCATTTTATTAAGAATCCTTCTTTGAACAATCATCTCCAAAGGTTCTAGAGGAGTCCCCAGAACTGAGCCAGCCTTCTTTATGAGCTTGTTGATCTTTTTTAAGTCACTTGCTCTGGTGCTGCTCCCCCAGCAGATGATGCAGAAGAGACAGCGCTCTCTACAACAGACTTATAGAAGATATGCAGCATCTTGCTGCAAACACTGAAGGACTTCAGCTTCCTCAAGAACTACAGTCTGCTCTGTCCCTTCTTGTAGACGCTTCATTGTTGCATTTCCAGTCCAGTCTGTTGTCTAGGTGAACCCCAAGGTATTTATACTTCTCCACCACCTCCACTTCTTCTTCCATGATGGAAATAGGGTTGGACCTGTTCCTGTTTCTCCTGAAATCTACAGTCATCTCCTTTTATCCTGATGCATGCTCAATAATCCAGGAAGAAAAATCTAAAAAAGTTCAATCTGGTCCTCTGGACATTCAAAAAAACAAAACAAAGCAAAACAACAAAAACATGTAGAAACGTTTCGTCTCTCATCCAAGAGACTTCCTCAGTCTGAGGTGCTGTTTTCAGCTCAGTCTCTTAAATAGCACCTTCTCAGAGTGGATCAACCAGTTTTGCTGCTGACAACCAAAACCAGCTGATCACATGCTCAATAAGGACCATCAGCCTAACAATGGATCATTAGCACCTGATGGCTGTTTACTGTTCACAGAGGGCTGAGTGATACTAGCAATCACAGCAAACACTTATGAACCTCTGAAAAGAGATCCAGGAAGTGGTTACAAGAAGAAATTGATAGATTGCCTGAAAAATTTGGAGCAGGACAAGGCTATTGACCGTTTTCTGTACCACAGACTGTACCCAGGGGAGGCCACACCTAGTCTGTATGGTTTACCTAAAATCCACTAACAAGGTGTACCTTTAAGACCAATTGTTAGCATGATTAACTCTGTCACTTACAATGTTTCCAAATATCTGGCGTCTGTACTCATCCCTTTAGTTGGCAGCTCAGAACACCACATACAGAACACCATGGACTTTGTGGATAAGGTGAGGGATGTCATCATGGAGACTGATGAAACAATGGTCTCTTTTGATGTCACATCACTCTTTACGTGCATTCCTGTTGATTATGCAGTAGAGGTGGTCAGGTTAAAATTAAAATCAGACACCACTCTGAGCAGCAGGACCACGCTTTCCACAGAACAACTGTGTCAACTCTTGAAACTGTGCCTGCAGTCAACCTACTTCACATATGGGGAGCAATATTATAGGCAGAAACATGGGTGTGCTATGGGGTCTCCAGTTTCTCCTATTGTTGCCAACCTGTACATGGAGGAGGTAGAAAAGAGAGCCTTGACGTCCTTTTCAGGGACACCACCAAGTCATTGGTTCAGGTATGTTGACGACACCTGGGTTAAAATTAAATCTCAGGAAGTCCAACATTTTACTGACCACATCAACTCTGTGGATAAATACATCAAGTTCACACGAGAAGATGTAAAAAATGGCAAGTTGGCTTTCTTGGACTGTGAGGTCTCAGTCTCTGATAGAGGACATTTGCAAACTGAGGTGTACCGCAAACCCACCCACACAGACCAGTATTTGCAGTTTGACTCCCATCACCCTTTGGAGCACAAGTTAGGAGTCATCAGGACTCTGTACCACAGAGCAGACAGCGTCCCCACTAACTCAGGAGCCAGGCAGAAGGAGAAATCCCACACAAGACAGGCTCTAGAGCAATGTGGATATCCTAACTGGGCCTTCCTGAAAGCAGAGAAGAAACCCAAACAGGACTCCAGTCAGCCATCAGGTGAAAAGGAGGAACCCAGACCCAGACCAGTGGTCATTCCATATGTTGAGGGAGTATCAGAGAAACTGAGACGTTTATTTTATAAACACAACGTCCCAGTGGCTTTTAAACCCCAAAATACATTACAGCAAAGACTGGTTCATCCCAAAGATCCAGTCCCCCGGCACAAACAGAGTAATGTTGTGTATGCTGTTCAGTGTCAGGAGGGTGATCAGTCTTAC